CAATTTCAACTCAAAAATAGATTTTTTAAGCAACTTTTTTCTTTCGCAGGACCATCCCAATCTGGCTGGCGCTGCTTCTGTGCATTAGTTGGGTTTGCGGATGTGCAGCATTATTTCTCATTTGGGAAAAACGATGGACGTTCTTTACAAGTCTCTACTTCTTCTTCATCTCGTTGTCCACTATAGGACTAGGTACGTTTTTTGCCAAAATATTCTAATTAAGTTTGAGAGCACAAGCCTTGTTCCGAAGTGAGAGATCATTAGTAAAAATTTCACTTTAGGATCATTTCCTTTGCTTTTTTTTAATTTTTCATATTTTGTACCTCTATACACATGTTTTATACTTTTCATATTTTGTACCTCCTTATCCACAAAAAGTAAATTACACACTTATGTTTCCTGTATAATTTTAACAAGCAAATCAAGAAATCATGTAAAAGATTTTTTGAATCGCTTTTTGCAAGATCTTGTTTGGGCGCGTCCAATCTTTTATTTGTATGCTGTCAGTGAACATCTTTGAGGGGCTGGACATGGACACGTATGTGCAAACTGTGTATATAATCCAGTATAAGTGACGTCAGTATGGTCTGCGGCGGTGCTGACAACAATTGCGCGTAAAAAACTCCACTCCACTTCTTGCGCATGGCCGTTTTTGCGCACAAACGCCGTGACAACGGTTTGAACGCGATATGGTCCAACAAGACCAAATATGTGTCAAACTTTTTGCTTTTTCTTTTTGACAACGTCCAGTTTGACATTTGTCGCTTGCCTCCCCCCTCCCCTTTTCCTATCCACTGAAATAGAGGTCCTTCTCTAGGTGATGTCGTTCCGGACCATCCGCACATGTTGATTTTGATGTTCTTTCTCGTAATTATTGGATTATCGATCGTTTCTATGTTACTTACTGTGATACAGATCAAATTTGAAGAATGTTTGTACAACTTGATGATGAGGATGCAGGTAAGCTTGTCTATTTTTGTTCTGGTAGAGTCTAAAAATTTCTGTTTCCAGGAAGAATATCAGAAAAATCTGGCTAATGGCACTCCTTTTGACCACGAACAAATTCGCAAGAAAGCTATGGAAGAACAGCCATTCTTCATGAAGTTCTTCGGTCCAGAACTGATGTC